GTCCAATTAATTTATTTCTATTTTAGTAGAGACGGAGTCTCGCTCTTGCTCAGGCTGGTCTCGAACTCCTGAGCTCAAACAATCTGCCCGCCTCGGCCGCCCAGAGTGCTAGGATTACAGGCGTGAGCCACCATGCTCAGCCCTGGGGTGACTTATTTTCTGTGAAGTATGAGGATGAGTTATTTGTGTATAGACATTGTGATATGATTGCCATATTTTAGCATCTTGGTTAAAAATTTCAATAGTACCAATGGCTCTGTTTATGTCATGTAAGGACAGAACCCAAAAGCTTAAGCAGAGAATCCCCACTTACTCTAGCATCTTGGCTTCCCTGGGGTTCTTATGATGGAAGATTGGCACAGTGGAGTGGTCCAGGTGTCAGCTTTGGGAGTGAGAACTCTTGGGGTTGTATCTTATCTCAGCCATGTACTAACAGTGTGACTGGGTGACTCAGTATCCTCTGGGGACAAATACTGATACCCTCTCCGGGGGTTGTTATGAATATTAAATGTCTTCATGTACTTACAAAGCAACTACTTGTTAAAATGCTCTAGTTGCGTTGTAGTAATTTTTATATGAACACATTTAATCTTCATGGTTCAGTTCCTGGACCGAATAAATATTGAATAAATAGTACTGGTTTTATTAATAGTAGTAATTTTATTAAAAAGATGCAAAGTGAAGAAGGAGCATGGAGGGTCTTGAGAATCCATGGCCCTCTTGTTCCTATCTCTTCCCTGAGACATTAAGCCTTTCAGTTTTGTTAACCATATGGATTTAGAATAGTCTCAAACCCCACTAGGCTACTTTTTTTCTTCTAAAACATTCAAATACCATATTTAGAATAGTTTTTATTTAAGATGGCTAAAGATCCTTCGAAATAGAAAATCAATATTTAGGAATTATGAGTGGGGGAGGGCTTGGGCATGACAAGGGAAAGGGCTAGCTCCTCGGGGCAGACGTTAACATCATTCACAGCTCACTCTGCTCATAACTTCTTAAATCCACGAGAGTCCAAAGGTAAACTAATGTCAACTTTTGTGAGCACTTTCGCATTTAACAAGTAGCATCTTTTGTGTTCCTATCTGTTAAGAACAATAAAATGTAATTAGTGATATTTAAGGAAATGTTCCACTTCAGGACAATATAGTGCTGAATGAACCTTTCTCCTTTTCATGACTCTACAGGGATCTTCGGAACCTAGTGATTGAAATGGTTTTATCTACAGACATGTCAGGTCACTTCCAGCAAATTAAAAACATAAGAAACAGTTTGCAGCAGCCTGAAGGGTAGGTTATTTTCTCTTGTCATGTTAAAGATCTGTGGGCTTGGACTCAGAAAAGACTTTAAATTGGTTACTTTGTTCTGATAATTTCAACATGTCCTTGGTTTGACAGGATTGACAGAGCCAAAACCATGTCCCTGATTCTCCACGCAGCAGACATCAGCCACCCGGCCAAAACCTGGAAGCTGCACTACCGGTGGACCATGGCCCTGATGGAGGAGTTTTTCTTACAGGTGCCTCTTTCTGCAGATGTTTTTGGAAATAGTGACTCTGCATATTGACACACATCTTTTCTGTGCAGAATCAGGGCTTGTGACTGTTAGCAATAAACCACAACACATTCATGAGGATTTTAGCAGAATTTATTAATCTTTCAGATAAATGTATTAAATAATCCTATGTAATGTAATACATGTTTTAAAGAGAGTCAAATCTTGAATCTCAGGTGTCACTCCCAGAAAAGAAAGAAATAAACAAACATAGAATTGCTATGTGCTGTTAAGAGGTAAGTGCTAGAACAGAGACAACAAATAGCTTTCATAATAAAAAGGGGAAGGGGAGGGTATAACACTTCTGCATAAATCTTGTTGGCCAGAATTTAGTTGTATGTGCACAGCTTCAAGAGAGGCTGAGAAATAAAGATTTTAGCTGTGTGGACATCTGCATAACTAAAGAAAAAAAGGTCTATTATGTGAGAAAACCAGCCTGGATAAGGGAAATGACTGGTGTTCTTTGCCACAAGTATACGTGTTTTTGCTCTATAGTGTCCCTATCTGCTCCCCGCTTCACCATGGTGAGGTACCACAATATAACTGTGATGCTAACCACTCAGAGTTAACATCAAATTCCACAAATTAGGGGCTCAGTTTCGCACGAGATTGGCTGAACTTCAAATGCCAGCTGCAAATGGGGCAGCAGGACACCCACACATCTGACCATCCCAATACAAATTCAGGCATTCCCATAACCCTCCCTAGGTTTGATAATTTGTTAGGGTGACTCACGAAACTCAGGAAAGTGTAATACTTACAATTACAGTTTTACTGTAAAGATACAACCCAGGAACAGCCAAATGAGGAGGTACATAGGGAAAGGTCTGGGAGGGTCCCAGAATCAGAGCTTCCACACCCCCTCCAGGTAGAGTTAGGGTGCATCCCCCTCTTGGCTTAGTAATAGGGAAACTCTACTGGGCTTCAGTGTCCAGAGTATTCATCAGGGTTTCCTTACGTAGGTATGATAGACTAAATCATTGGCCATGTGCTTCAACTCCATCTCCAGCCTCCCTCTCTTCCCAGGGGATCAGGTTGGCTCAAAGTTCCAACTTTCTAATCATGTAGTTGGTGCTTCTGGTGACCAGTCCCCATCCTGAAGCTATCTAAGTGCCAGCCAAGAGTCACCTCATTAGCATATCAAAGAGTCTCCTATCACTCAGAAAATTCCATGGGTTTTTGAAGATCTGTGCCAGGAACCCTGAATGAAGATCAGATATATTCTTTGTTATATCGTAGTCCCATTCAGAGAAGCTCTTTTTTTATTTATGTATTTTCAGATTATTTCATTTCTCAGTATTATTCTTTATTTTGAATGTTATTTATTGATTTTATACCTATTCTGAAGACATAAACACCAAATGTATTACCATATTTAAATGACTTTGGTTTCTGTCTACCATTGTCAATGGATATAATATATGGTTTCACTTTTAAATAGCATTGCATATTCCTAGAGAAAGTTACTGAGGACCATCTTTCAAATCCAAACAT